CCTGGTAAAGAAAACGACTGCGTCTTACTTTGTGCCAGTGGGAACAACTTGTCACTAGTGGGGGGGGGGCTACAATTTGCGTTGATAATAAGACAAAACTGAAACTGTTAGCTGCCATGCAGATGAAGGCCAATTACATAACCACTTGCATCATATAGCACGGCTGCATGGCTGCCACAACCCGTGAAGATCATCCCTCTTCGAACACAATGCTCTCCTCGTTGTCAACCAGCGACTGCGTATCAGTCTCTCGGCTGGTTGCAGCAGTGCAACACTGGTGAACTGCTTGCTCAGTGGCAATTTGAACTCCTCCGCTGCCCAGTGAATGATCAAGCCTGGATGAGAAAGAAGGAGGGTTGGGTCAGGTCTCTCGTAAAACTTAGTCACCTGCACTGCATGGCACTGCAGTTATGGAAGTCATACCCGCTCCGTTGCCCGGATTACTATGGGCAGAGCAGGCTGATGGCAAACTGACGCAGAATGCGAGAGATCTGCGATCAAAACCTGCTTCTCGTCTTGTCAGCCGGGAGCGTAGCAGTACTGTCAATTAGCGACAGTAAGCAGACGAAGATACCAGTCAGTAACGGAGCCGCTACCCGTTCCGAACGCAGCAGGCAGACAGCGCAATAGCAAGAACAGGTTCGACGGAAACGATACTGACAATTGGAGCTCACAGTCAGACAAAGGAGCATCACCTCACGAGGAACAGACGCCCGTCGATGAGGCCGAAAGATACCGACTGGACATAGTTGGTCTCTCATCGAGTCCAGGACCCTGGAATCCTGAACCTATGCAAGTGAAAGCCATTCTACTCAGATGTCGACTTCATGACAAGCGCTGAGGCTAGTGTTGGTATTCTGGTAGAACCCGGCCTGGTTGAAAGACTCACTGACCAGAAGCCTGTCAGCAGAAGAGCAACAATCATCCAGCCGAAGCTAGATTAGGCGAAATCTCTGTCCCTGTTACAGATCTACGCAGAAAGAGCAAATGGGTCATAAAGGCGAACAAGGTAGGTTGTGGTTAACATGCGAATGTGTCAAATTCCAATGAATATGGAGAAGACACCAGTGAATTGGAGGATGGAGCTTGCAATACCCTGTCAAGGAGGGGAGACCGTATTGATCGCTCTATCTATTGGGGCGTTACGCCAATCAGCCTCCCGGGAAAGTCTACGAAAAGTTGCTGGAAGGGAGTTGCTGCAAAACAACTGCCTATGATCGGATCCCGCGCCACAACCTGTGGGATTGGATCGATGGCCAGCTGATACTGGCCATCGCCATCCAATCACTATATGCTGATAGCAGGTGCTGCGTCCGAGTAAATGGCGCTGTGCCGAAAACATTGAGTGTTGGCACTGGTCTCCGCCAGGGCTGCGTCCTGTCCCCTCTGCTGCGTGTGTTGTACATAGGTAAAATAGTCAGGAGCAGCCAAGGCGAGGAGCGTATCGGTG